CTATAACTGGATACCGTAAGTCCAGACAGGCTTGAGAAATGTTTTATAGATTAAAATAGCTTATTGTCAATAGACAACTTGCTATTTGTTCCTAAGATCCAGGATAATTCTTTATAGCTTTATATTTAATTCATTTCTCTTGGTTTTGATATGATGGTTCCATGTGAGCCGTCGATCAAGATGTAGGCCAAGGTATTGCATGGTGATGATATATTCATGGTGAGGAAGTGGCAAGTTTTCGAGTTTTACTTGAGGACAATTTCCAGTTCTGCAAGTGAATGTGATCTGTACCGATTTGGAGGCACTTGCTTTAATTTTCCTTTTCTCTAACCATTTTGTGATTGCGTCTAGTCCAACTTGCAAGATTTGTGATGCAGCAATAGGATCTTTGCTACTATCTAAAAATGCTGTGTCATCAGCGAATGTGGCTGTTCTGATTCCCTCTACTTGTGGAAGATCTGCTGTATAGACAGTATACCTATAGGACCGGCCCCAGGACTGAACCTTGGGGAACACCAGCTTTGATCTCAAAGAATTTGGAGGTTTTATCTGTTTCTTTGCACTTGGAAGATCCGTTCAGTAAGGTAAGAGCTCATGAGAGTGTAGAAGCTATGAGGAAGGCTGGTGCGTAGTTTACAAAGTAGGCCCTTGTGCCAAACTCTGTCAAAGGCCTGTTGTATGTTGACCGCGAAAGTAAAAGTTTAAATAAAAGATAACAAATACAGTGCCAAAAGAAATATCTCTTCTATTCATAATCTTCATCGTCAAGTCATCGACCACCATTACATAAATCTTATCAGAAACTACTTTGAGATAACCTCTACTTTCGGAACAGCGACGTGTAGTGGATTCTAGAAGATTGGAGAAAGTATAAATGCTGTGATTGCAATGAGTTCCGCGTTTGGATCATCAACTTACAAATATCAAAAATATTACAGAGCAAATTCTCTGTTAGTTCAGAAATAACATAGAAATAGCTTGCTTAGAATATATATTTTTAAACAACTTTTGAGACAGTAGAAATTTATTAGATGTCAGAATATTTTTAATTAGCTCTAGGGCACGCGGCAACAAGAGAAACTAACGATGCCTGCGAACTTAAACTTAACTGTGAATCCCTCCTTATAATTACCAAAACGCGGCCTGTTAGTATTCTTTAATAATAACGTTTTATATCGATTAAAGAATCATTAATATCGGTATTGTAGTTTAGGAGTTTGTTCATTATAAACCAAATGTATAACCCAAAAACAATGTCCCCGAAATAATAAATAAACCAAATGTATAACCCACACGACAACCATGTCCCCGAAATAATAAATACTCTCGAAGTCATAGAAACCTCACGTTATCTAGTTGAATAGTCTACGAAACTACATGACTAAATTAAAAAATTCTCTCAAATACGAGTAGCTACATTAAATCTACTAGGACATAGGCTATTATTTACGCGCCCGAAGTCGCAGGAGGACTGCTCTTATTTTCTGACCTCGAGATAACTTCTCATTTTCTTTTCGTTTTTATTAAAGATATTTTCAAGGCTAGAATTATATAAATCTCGGCAGTAGGTAGCTAGAGGTCAAAGTTGTGATAATTCCAGATATAGATAGATACCCTCATAATAATGATTAATGGCTGCGGTCAACGCAGATAAAATTCTATGTTTTTACAAGTAACTTGAACTGGAAGAATAATTTTAAAATTACTAAAAATCTTCTTCTTAAATTACAATTAATTATCTCTTCGCAGTGACGACTTTGATAGTATATTACCATGAATCCATTCTCCTCCATAGTCCAACGTTTTCGTAACGTTAAAGATCGCAACAAGTGGAGGCGCATCGCCAAGATAGCATTATCCAAATCAGAAGCATCAAAATGAAACCACGACGGCTCTATGCACTAAAGCGTGCATTTAATTACTTTACTAGCTTTCCGCCAGCGGCTTCGCCCTCATTATAATTACACATATAAACCTTCCTCCTTGAATCGCTATCTACCCACACATACAACCTAATGGTTCCTAAAACTGTATTAAAATCAATTGTGCAGTTTAAAAGATCTCAAAGTACAGAGAATGAGAAGAGACTTTGCTTTATGGAACTGGAACATAAAAGACTAGTCTGACATGCGACTCCATTCTCCATTCGATAGCATAAATTTTAATTTTCTTTAGATTTCAGGTATCGAATTTTCATAAACTAATTTAAGACTTTAAGACTGTATATTAAATATTTATGTTTAAATTTAAAAAAGCTACTTTTATTCAGTATATAAAAATAATTTTCAAATCGTATTTTACGAGGAGAAAGCGCAAAAAAACGACTTCAATAATTATATAATTCCATTGTCATCTCATTAGTTAAGTAAATGAGCTGTGATGACGTCAAAAAAGATAATAACAGTGAGTACACAGACACAGTAGCGACAGAAACATGTTGTCTGATTCAACTGACGCAGCAGAACTTGACCCCTCGACCTTGCACAAATCAACCGCCCCCAATCGAACAGACGCTGGACTATAAATGAACGCTAATAATTCGTCCGCGGCTACTGAACTTATTGGAACCATTTCTATAAAATACACTGAACTGTGATTACTTCACTGGTATAAAACAGCTATAACGCAGTAGAATAAAACATCGCGACCTTGCACAAATCAATCCTCCCCCTACAAATACTCATTTACGGTTCTAACTTATCAGAGTCAACTAGCGATGGACGATAAATGACCGGTTAATATACTGACGCTGTAAAAAACAAAGATTATCAATCCCACTAGTTAAAAAATAAAACTGGCGAAGCTTTAAATGTCTCTCTGGTGTTATTGACCACGTTATTAAAACCTTCTGCGTAATGCTCAATTCTGATTAATTGCTCACAATTCCATAGACCTCATTAAGTATTGATTCTGATGTCATGATGATTATGATTCTGATGTTTCATAAAACCTTAAAATCTACTTTCTTCCTTTACCTTATTGAAAAAAGGCAACTTTGAAACGTATATACTCTAGTAAATTGCTCTCGTGGAACAACTAGAAATGGTACTAAATACCTACATTAGCATTGTGATAAGATATGACTTTGACAGGGATTATAATATTAGTGGTTTTCAATAATATCTATTAATATTAGAATGATATTAGAGGTTTGGTGAAGAATAAATTTGAACAAAATTTTTAATTAAATTTTATGAATCAATACAGTTTCCTATCTATACAATTTTGATTAAAAAGTGTCTACTAATTGACAAGTTGTGTGGTGACTACCACTCTATAAGGAAGATGAAATTCAAGTTCAATGTTTAAATTTCATGCGCTTAAAACCTTTCAATAGATTGTTTTGTTAAAAAAGTAACGAAAACAATATAAAGTAATTTGAAGTTATATCATCAAAGTTCTTATACTTAGGTATTTTTATTAAGTCAACATCAATTATTAAAAATCTCAAACCAAACACATTTATTGGGTATAAAAAAACAAATATAAAAGATGAGTACAACACTACCTAAATGGAATTATAATGTTGATTTTTATCAAATGTTTGCTGTTTCATTGTTTGGTTCTGAAGACGCCTAATTGTTTTTTATTACGATATTAAAAACTTAAGGGTTTCAATGATTGTTTTGTACAAATTTACATTACAAAATATACATAACATCGTGTCCAGTTGGCTAACATACTTTTAGTGGTTTCTGAAATATATCTTTGTAGCAAGCAAACAGACGTTATGATTGCATGCACCCATCGCATCGGTAATAAAGATAGTTACTGCAGATCGTAGGATGCGACCATCTCTCACCACTGTCACAAGTTTTATTTATAGAAGACGATAATTTATTGCGAGACACCGCTACCGTCACATGACATAATCATTAAGATTTATTTATTACAATCAACGATCAATCGTATGCAATGAATAAAAACTCGTTGATTCAAATATTGTCTATCAAACATAGGTAATTTATAACTTCAAAAATACACGCCTTCTAAAGCTGTTATTTTAAAAATTACCTCTTAACACACAATTTGAATGAAGATCAAGTAAGCTTAGTTCGGAATGACATTTACATATCCGATAAAAATGCTACCAAAAGTCTGATATTAATCAAAGATGTAGACCTTGAGAAATAACTTGCTTATGATAATAACCACGTGTAAATTGTATATTAGTGTAGACAAATATGTACGCAAAACAAGTTATCTTGAGACAGTCTATCAAAGAATAGTATAGGCGCCGTCGTCGACGCACGGTCCCCCACAATCATATAGAATCTATTTACGCATCAAACTAAACTTGCCTCGATAGTGCGTGACGCTAGTGAACGCTGATGCGAATTTGTATCCGATACAGATTCGGATAGCGCAAACTACTTCTACAATTCTTATAATTTTACTAATCATCAGTATTAGTGTTTTTCATGCATGCATCTTAGGAGTACTCATTATCAGCATGGGTAATGAATATTCCTAAGATATAGAGAAAATATTCTAACAAGACTATTGTTTTGTTTACTGTCCAATATTTTAGAGAGTATTTAAAATAGATTCCCTTTCATTGAATCGTATACATGCAAAACATAAGGTCTCATAGGGTTGTCTACGCCAGTAGATAGATTTGCAGTCACTGATGACTGAAGACGATTTTCATTTAATTATTAAGCATGTTTTAATTATATTTTTAATTTCAGAATAAATTACAAATTTAAGTTCCGAATATTATGTTATGGAATTTTCAATAATAAAATCTATTTTATTTACCCTAAAATACCGCGTAAAATGTCAGTAAACCAACTTTACAGCAATTTGCAAATTTGTCTTAAAATTATTTTTAATTTGTTAACTGCCAACATTTGCGCGGCAATACGAAAGATACTCATAGAGAAGGCTGTTGATTATTGAACTTTTACCCTGTTAATAAAAAACATTTGCAATGGATTTATTCGGCTTCTGGAAAATAATAAAGAAATTGAAAAATAAAAGAAACAAATAGTACTCACACGTGTTTCTCTTTGCGTTTGAACGATCTAACAACGACGTTGAAATAGCGTCAAGGTTGTGAATAAAGTTGTTTTTAATGCGCGAACCCGTGCTTTCTGTTTGGTAGGTTGGTTGTGACTGACGTGTGGCGTGAGCGGAGTCGTGACGCCGACTGATAACGGCGGCTAAAGAGGAAAAACTACGTGACTGGTACGAAGCCCGGAGGACGAAGTGATCGCTAGGAGGCTGGTCGGAGGCCCGCCGACACACCTTCAGCCTACGCTCGGGGAAACATGTTTCCAAACACTGGGTTCAACCACTTTCTAAATTTGACTTGTATGTATACAGTAACTCGATGTTACGTGAATTTTCTATATTTTTCATTGCAGTTTAGATAAGTTTAAGAATAATATTAACTAAGATTTGAGAGGAAGTCGATGGCGTATTTCGTTTGGTCTTCCATGCGGAAAGTTGTGAGGGAGTGTAAAGCCAAAAGGCTGTAGTAAAGGCGGAGATTTGCGAATTGCGCGGCAAAAACGGATTTGATATAATTATTCACAAACTAGCTCGATTACTATTATATTACCTAATTCAATTTGCATGCACCATACCACATTGATGCTGCATTACTCCTTCAGCTTTATAGTGATTCGAATTTTATCAATTTCTCCTAGTCTTCTTCGTAATCAACTTGGCTTCCTGTGCACAATACTGGAACGACGCTTATATATAAATAAAATAAAAGATTAATATGGATAAAATAAAATAAAAGACTAATATGGTACACCAATTAAAGAGTTTTATTTTGGAAACATGACAAAAGAAAGTCCTTGGGTGCTGTTAATTTCAGAATTTTGTACTGCACATATGGATTCATGTCCCGACGTCCCTAGTTGCCTAGTTTACCTTAATTACCTATTTGTAGGGAAAACACTATTCTATAGTGCCCCCCCTGCAATTTATTCGTTTTTCTAATCCAGTGCCAGATTTCCATTCCATATCCTTAGTTATTTCTTAGATTTAAAAAAAAAATGAGCTTGAGGTAAAAATGTTATAATATCTACAATTTCAATCGATGATCGATCTATATCGGCTGTCCCATTTCAAAACCTAGTAAGTCTACAAAAAGTAGAAATTGTTTTTTTGTTAAAAGTGGTTTTCCAATAAGTCCCCACAAGATGCCAAAATTCACTTCTATCAAAAGTTATAGGGTACCCTAAACCTAGTAAGTGCTTCTAAGTTTATGAAAAGTTAAGTTTTAACCATTATAAAACCTAGTATGTATCTTTAACTATTTCAAAATTCTAGTATGTGTTAGCACATACTAGGTTTTTGAAAATGTCAAATCTAGTTACTGGGTTATGAAGTGAATAAATGTATAGAAACAATATTTTGTGGTTTTCGTAAGACGTTAAAATATTGAGTTACTAAGTTTTGCTAACTAAGTTTATAGTAGTAGTAAAGGTAAAGATTTTCGCTGTAGTGTAGAAGTTTATCGACAAACAATTAAAAGACTTTATATTTCATTTAATATGCCAAAAGTGCGTGCGCGGATTGTTCATTTTTTGAGGAAGAAATTAAGAGAAATACCCAAACAAAAAGTAAACAAAAAGAACATCAAGAAAAAAATCCCTGGTTGTCCCTGTCGAAATATTTTTTTATGCGTGGATACGTCTATGTATGAATGGATATATGACTAATTGATAAAAAATAAATAAATAAACAAATTGAAGACACTAAACACTAAATAAATAAATATTCGTTGCGTTCATTTGTTGAATGAAAAAGTATTCACTAGCGCCAATAGATGGCGTTAGTGCATATACTCCTGCTGACAGAATGCCCATCCCCCTGCAGAGCAAGCATAGTTCACTTATACGCCAATAGATGGCGTTAGTGCATAAGCTCCTGCTCACAGAATGACCCCCTGTAGAACGAAAACATAGACGTATCCACGTCAAAAAGTTAAATTAGCAATGGAACCATAGACTAGATCAGAGGTTCCCAAACTTATGTCGTCTAACTTATGCCCATTTTGAGTATTTAACTTAAACCACTATAACTTCTTGGGAGCTATATTAGCGGAAATTAAAATATCATTCTAAAGAAGACGTAAATTTATTTATTTATTCAATAAAACAGGACAAATATGCATATATAAAATATACTGAGAGAAATATAGAACCGAGTTATTATGAGCAATCTCTTAATTAACATTATGAGTTGATGTTCACAGCTTATAGTCGGTAGTCGAAAGTTCAGTCAGTGTCGAAGAGTCCACGTAGCACCATCATCAAGATGATGATGATGGCATCAACAAAAAGTCGAATATTTTTAATATACTATATTTATTTAATCAAATTATAAACCATTGTTATCTATGCACTTTTGTCATCTCATAGGTAGGTCATTGATCCCCTTACTGAAAAAACCATTCGGACGGGAATCAATAAAATCTTTGAAGGCGATTTGCACTGCCCCATAGGAGTTGATTTTTTTTCCTTGCAAGAAGTTATCCAAATTTCGAAAAAAATGGTAATCTGTTGGACCAAGGTCCGGGGCGTACGGTGGATGTCTTAGACATTCCAATTGAAGCTCTTCTAATTTGGTAGCCGTCTGTTGTGCAACGTGTGGTCTAGCGTTATCGTGAAGTAGCAGTGGCGTAGAGCGATTGACCAGCCTCGGTTGTTTAACAGCTAGTTTTTCCAGCATGGTTTGCACTTGCTGACAATAGACGTCTGCCTTAATCGTTTGGCCAGATTTGAGAAAACTCTAATAACCGACACCGGCACTAGTCCACTTTCACAATACCCTTCTTCAATTCTTCATTATAAACTAGGGTCTCCGGCCGTCCATGAGGCTCGAAATTTCCAGAACGAAAACGTTGGAACCAAAAACGTACTGTGTTTTCTTTTGCGATACAACCGGCATACATATCATTAACCCTTCGAGCTTTTTCCGCAACAATGGTACCATGGTGGAACTCGTACTCGTAAATAACACGATATTTCATTTTTTCCATATTTAATACTGGGTGACATAAATAGAACAAATAGAAGAAAAAAAATCAAATGAATACGTCCTAATGAAACACAAATACATGTGTAAATGGCTGTATAAATTTGAATTTACTAGCTTTTGATCTGGATAAGCTGATTTTTAGCTAATATGTTAAACCAGATCAAAATCTAGTAAAAGAACTTACTAGGTTTGAAATGGTTTTGGAAGTCAATTTTTACTTAGACGTTTTATTGTTAAAATTATTTTAGCTCATAAAATTTGTAGAATGAAACTTAGACAAATAATTTATATATCAAATTAACAGTTTCAAACTACTCCTTCTTGTAAATAATAATTTCTCAACAGGTGTTAAATAGTTTAAAAGAGCTACCCTAAAAAGAGTTTTTTTGCTCTCCTGTAAAATTTAGTCCAAAACAGTTACTAGGTTTTGAACTGGGACAGCCGATATGAGTATGAAACAACAACCAGGATGCCGATACACCGCCTAATATCCTATTCCTGTTATCCAGTATACCTGCACAAGTACAATAACTGGTATAATAATCAGGTACGTCATTCCAGTATCTACGTTGCTATCTTTTTTTTTTTAACGTAGTCTGTCCAGACTTCATCCACGTGGACTGACGAACCGGGTCATAAACGGTGTTGACAACTCCAGCTAACGCTTTAGGGAAAAGGGCCTGGGCAAGGTCTTCTCCAAGCGCAGCCCCCAACCTATTTTAGAAACAAAGTTTAGTTAGTATATTTGTCAATAGATGGCGTTAAATATTTGCTACAATATTTTTATTACATTCATGCATGCTCTTGTGGAGAAATTTTATTTTTGAATAATAAAATCATAATATATTTATTTACCAGAATATAGTACAGTACATATCTTTTAATTCACCTTAGACTTGGATTTTATTTCTCCTATTCGATTTGATGGTGGTGGTGCTTTTAAGGGTAGCTTTTAAAGGTAGGCCCAGCTGTGGGGACACTAACAGGCACCAGCCTATTACCAGATGATGATGGTTTTGAATAATTTACCTGTTTGGAGCTTGTACAACATTAGTGTAGATTCTAAACGCTATGTTTATTTATTTTAGGGCAAATAAAAGAACCTGCAAGTTTAAAGATTTATTAAATCAATTACAAAGAACTGGCGTAACTGCTTTGGAACTTATCTTGTATCACATAGTGAGGCACTTGAGAAATACTATATAATCTTATATCATAACCTATTTATACATAAGTAATTGGTGTTTAGTAAACTTCCATTAGAAATTACAAAGAAAGGATTGTTACGAATGTACATTTTGAATTTAATAATAAAAAAGAACAATGTATCAATGGCTTAACATTCGACCCATCCTTATTTAGATATTTCGTACCTATAATGTTAATTTTAATAAAGCTTTAGATAGTACAGACGTCACCATACGTCACCTTTCTACAATAAATCAAATTTTCACAATTGTTTTTATCAACCTTACCCTCAAAACAAAATGGATCAAAATCAAGATACGTTTTATTATAACCTGTCATACTTTTGATTGTACATTTATGTCAATACCTATCATTTCATTTAAAATAGTTACCCAAATAAGATAAACTATTTCAATGATTCGTTTAAGACTTCATGCAATTTATAGCATCTATTATATACACACCAGACAAAATTAACATTCTTGGATAAGGTTCCGTTAATTCAGAATAGGGCTTCCAACCTATCTAATTTTGCATGATCCCATATATAGAAACTTATAACGTCCGGCCTTAAGAACCACACGTAAAGGTTCCATACTAAATGTCTAAGTTATAATTTCAAACATTAACAGTATTTAAATGTTAGGACAGGAAAGCTGACCACAATATTTGCGGGCCCAATGTGTATTACCGGGTGCAAACTACTGAATTATGGAGACCACAAAATACTGTGCTTTGTAGTAAGAGCTCGATATAGTAAAAAGGTCGCATATGTGATGATCTTAGTGACATTTACTAACCTCCACAAATGTATCATTAATAACCCTCTGAACTGATTTTGATTTTTCATTAGACAATGGGGAAAATATCAAATAGCAATTATTATATATTGATATACTGTAACAATGTTATTAATAAACAAGGATTAGCGTTGGAGTATATTTACGCTGACACTGC